CAGATGGATCATCTAAACACAACGTAAAAGTGATATTTTTCATGGGTAATTCTTGAGTGTATCAGTGCATACTGTATGTATGTGTATAAGTTTTGATAAATATATATAAGTTACATTATAAAATCGTGTAAGATTTTACAAACATACATAAGTTAACTCATAAAAATTTAAGAAATCACAACTTACATATATTTGTGAGCATTTATGTAATTTTATGAGATACTTTATGTATATTTATGAGAATTTACATAAATGCATATAGTATGCACCTTGCTTACACACCCAGAGCCCACCTCAAATCATCATTAAAACGAGGTGATTGTGGTGAAAATATTGGGCCTTGTGTTTAGCCCAGTGGTTTTGTAATTACACTTTAGGGGGGCCCACCTCAAATCATCACTAAAACGAGGTGATTGTGGTGAAAATATTGGGCCTTGTGTTTAGCCCAGTGGTTTTGTAATTACACTTTAGGGGGGCCCACCTCAAATCATCACTAAAACGAGGTGATTGAGGTGAAAATATTGGGCCTTCTGTTTGGCCTTGTGTTTGGCCCAGTGATTTTGTAATTACACTTTAGGGTATAGTAAGAAAAATGTACTCCTTTAGTTCTAATATAACTTTACCAAACAAACTAACATCCTACAATGTGGGTGTTTAGAAAGTGAATTTTTATGTAAATTTTTTTTGTTGTAAGATATTATTGGAGAAAATATTTTTTGTGTTTAGGAAGGTAATTGGATTTTTTTGTAGTTGAATGTGATGTTTGTGAAAGAAAAAGTGAAATAATTATGGGGTTGAATGTGATATTTTGTTTGGATGTGTTTTTTTTTTTTTTATTTTGCAAAAAAATTATCTTTTTGTGAAAAAAAATCAAAAAAAAACCCAAGTTGAAGACTTCCCAATGGGCCTCGTTTGGTTTGTATTTGAGAAACATATTTTGAGATAAAAAATACGAAAATTTGTTTGGTTTGGTTTTTTTTCAAAAGATGTTTTGAAAAATTATTTTGAGAGAGAGTTTTGGAAAAAGTGATTGATTTGATGTGTATGAGAGAGAGATTTGTTTGGAAAACTTGTAAACCAAACAAGTTTTGGAAAAAAAAAAATTGAAAAAATTTGCTTGGTTTGATTACTTTTGAAAACTTATTTGTAGAGAATTTTTCTCAAAATTTTTTGAGAAACACAAACCAAACAAATGAATCTCCCCCGCACCCCACACCCCCAAAAAAAAAATGGTGTGAACATATTGTATTATTGTCTATCTGTTCTATTCTTTTGTTTTGTTTTTCTTTTTTTTTGTTGGGGAGTGTAAATTGCACATTTTACTACTATAATTTGATTCAAATTTTATTTTGATTTTTTATTCTTATATTTTTAATTTAAAATTTTGATCCTACAGTTTAAATTCAATTTTAATTTGATTATTTCATTTAAATTTCTATTAATTTTTGGGGAAAGAATTGTCTCTAGTCCACTTTGTGAACTAGACAATATTGTTGGGCCCGTGTGACCCACCACGAGTCTCATTTCGATAATCTGAACCATCAATATGTAGAACTTGTTGAATATTTTATCCCTACAAAAAATCACGTTGATCAAATATTAATAGCCCCTTGATTGGTTCATATTTTTGTTGCTGGTACATAAGATTTTAAAAATAAATTATCAATAAAAATGTATTCTGACCAAGGGACTATTGATATCAAATTAACGTGATTTGTTTAGAGGAAAGAAGTACACGAACTCTACACATTGAACGATTCAAATTATTGAAATGGAATTTTTGGTAGGCTTCATGGGCCTAACAGTACCGTCCACTCCACAAAATGGACTAGAGACAATCGTTTCCCTAATTTTTTTACTCATGGCAGGCATGCCTAAATCACTATTTTAATCTTTAACACAAAGACCAAAAAATATATATTTTTTATGAATGACATTCATTTTTGGGAGATTTGAAAAGAGATTTGAAGAAAGAAGGGAAATGGTGTGTAAAATTAGGTAGAGTATATGTAAATTTTATTTACATTTTACTTATATTTTATCTTTCTCTTTCTTAATCCCTTTCCAAATCTCTTAAGCAAACACAGCGTTAAGAAAACTCACATAACATCAAATTTAAAATTACATCACACAGTCTACTTTCCAGGTAAATTGGATCATGAGCTGCCAAATTCCATTAAAAGAAAGAAAGAAAGCAGTGCATTGGGGAATCCGGATCCTCCGTCGCACTCCCCTGCAGCCCATTCCTGTCACCCTCCAAAACGAGGTTTTTTTTTTCTTTTCTTTTCTTTTCTTCTTCTTCTTCTTCTTCTTTCTGTCTTTCATTTGATTGCCTACTTTACGCAGGTTCTTCGCCACCCCCATTGCAACCACAATCGCATTTCTAGGAAATCTGCACTTTTAACAAAATAATGCAAATTCAAGCTTTGTGGGAGTTAACTGTAATATTGAATTCCAACAGTTTGAAAAATCAAATCAGCTACTTGCCTGCCCAAGAACTCATCCCCTACAGTGGATTCCAACAGCTTGAAAAATCAAATCATCAACAATCATCGACCCAAACCACCTCCTCGGCCTTCCACGGTGGCGCCACCGCCTTGATCCAAACCACTCTCCCATGCTCCACCAGCCTCCGCCTCAAAACCACGATCTGGTCCAAACTCGGGGGCTCCGTCGGCGACCTCACCACTCTCATCTTCACCTCCCTCTACAACATCTCCACCGGCCTCCTCTTCAGCACCCCCATGCCTGTCCAACCCATGAAATCCATCGCCGCCGTCGCCATCTCCGAATCCCCTCACCTCAACATCTCCACCGGCCTCCAAATCCCCTCACCTCACTATCCCTCAAATCGCCTCCGCCGAAATCTCCACCACCTCCATGCTCCTCCTCCTCGGCGCCACCGCCTCAACAACCGAAATCCATCAACAGAAAGAGAGAGAGAGAAAGAAAGAAAGAAAGAAGAAGAAGAAAAGAAAAAAAAAACCCTCCAAAATGACGTCGTTTTGGGGGGGGGGGGGGGGGGGGAAATTACAAAGAAAGAGTCAAACTCATTTACAAGCGATAATGAATTCAGAGTCAAAACCAAAATGAGCTATACTGACTCCAAATACAAACTCGATAATAAGCTATAATGAAACTTTTCTTTGTGATTTCCCAAGGTCTAATAAGAAAATTAGTCCCTTAGGAGTAATGCACCGGTGATAAAGGGAAGTATCAAACAAGATATTGTGCTTAGCATAAGAGAGAGGTAATGCCCTGGTAATGAACCTCTAAAGAGATTAAACCATTTAGCATGAAAAGTCTCTTTCTTATGCTTTGAGCGGTAATCTTTTGTTTGATACAACTTTTAATCAAAAGAAACAAAGAAATGAGGGAGATTGCATAGTGCTAATGGAAAGTGGATGATTACAATGGTATGAATATATATGAAAGCTATAAAAAAGAAAGAAAAGACTATCAACTCCAGTGGATTAGAAGCTATAGCCTATACACCAATCCATGAGGACATACAACAACACATCTATAGTATTTAATGCATAATTTAACACTCTAAAAAGCTCTGAAACAACATAAAAACAATGCTGAAAATTAAGTTTTTGAGGTGGAAAAAGTGAGCAAAAATGGAATAAAGCCAAGGGGTTTCAACCAACCAACAAGTCTAAGGAAGGGTGGCTAACCTCTCCTCTTTTTTTGTGACTTAAAATCACATATTTCAGGCCTCAAAACACTTTGAAAACAGCATGAAAAAGTAAAGAAAAGAGAGAGAAAAGATGGTACAAAAGCTCAAATTATATCTCTTGAAAGAGAGGGAGAGCTTCATTATTAACAAACCACAAGCTTAACACTCTGTAGTAGCTAAAATTGTATTCAAAAACCTCAGCAAAATCCTCAAGTCTTTGCTCAGAAGGTGTATGTATAGTATATCTATATTGCAGGAGAAGGGAGACGCGTGTTGGACAAGTTATAGCTCTTTGGCAAAATTTTCTAACCCCAAACCATGAGGGATGGCCATATATTTATGGAAAAATAGGGTTCTCATGTTGAAAATTTATGTAAAGAGATAGCAGGTGCAAGGCATGCACATGGGGACAGTTGGCTGTCTTCAAATATATGTTGTCGGGAAACATGGCCAGCCAGCCACTGGGGTTTTTTTTTTTTTTTTTTTTTCTTTTTCTTCTTTCTCTTCCGTCTGTGTTTGGTTTTTGGAAGAAAACCAGAGGAGTGGAGAGGAGAGGGGAAGAAGAGAGAGAGGAAGGGAGAAGAAGAGTTGAAGCAAACCACCTCTCCTCTATCCTCCACTCCGGCCGGATCTGGAACAAAAACCCAATTCATCAAAATCCAAATTCAAAAAAACCCAATTCATCAATTTCTTAAACCAATTTCAAATTAGATTTCAGATTTCAAATCTGTAAAAAAAAATCAGATTTCAACAAACATCATCATCAACAAACCCAGAAAAAAAAAATCTGATTTGAAATTGGTTGGATCTCCTTCTTCCCTGTCGCACTCTCCTCTTCCTTTTTTTCAAATCAAATCAGATTTTTTTCAAATCAGATTTTGGATCTCCTTGTTAAGGAAGAGGAAGATTTTGGATCTCCTTTTTTTCAAATCAGCTTTTGGATCTCCTTTTTTTTCAAACAAACCCCTTCCTCTATCTCTTCTTCCCCTCCCCTCCCCTCCCCTCTCCTCTCTGGTTTTCTTCAAAACCAGACGCAGACCGAAGAGAAAGAAGAAAAAGAAAAGAAAAAAAAAAATCCCTCCAAAACGGCGTCGTTTTGGAGGGCGACAGGAGAGTGCGACAGGGGAATGCGACCGAAGATCCGAATTCCGAATTCCACACCTACCTAGCCTAACAAAACTGCATAGCTGTCTCGTGATCTACACCCATTGACCCATCAATCCCTCAGTGTTTCTAACAGGAAAGGCCTGTGAAAAAGCCCTTCCTGGTTTTCTGTTTCACAACCTTTGAGAGGGATAGCGTAGAGAGAATTGAAGAAATGGGTGATGAGATTATTGAAAAGTATCTAATAACCAAAGTAAACAAAGACCTTGAAGAACTAGAGCAAGCCCAAGAGCCTTTGCTAGCCAAATTATTATCCAATCTGCCTTCCACGTTCAAGGAATTGAAGAAATCGCTCGAACAACCAACCACCTCCACCGATTCAAATCCAACAAAATTCAACAGAGAAAAGCTCTACAATCTCAGTAACATCTTGACTGAGATGCAAATGCAGAATAAGAAGAAGACTCACGGTATTGAATCAGTGCTTTTCTACAAGTTTGCTAGGAGCTTAGACAAGATCAAAGGCGAACCTCGCGAGAAAGACAACAATCACATACAAACAAATGAAGCAAACTCGGCTGAATCAGAAACAGAATCTTTCCGATTGAGTACTCGATCGGTGGACGAAACCAAGGTTCACGGGCTCGACGACAAGGCCGTGTCAATGCAGAGGCTGCTCGTCCCCAGCAACAACAACAACACCGATGTTCGGTTCAATGTAATTGGGATTGTGGGTATGCGAGGAATTGGGAAAACAACACTATGCCAATTGATTTTCAACAAGAAAAAAGTGAGGACTCATTTCCTTCCCAGAATCTGGGTGTGTTTGTCATCACAGCCCCGGGACAATGAGGACTTCAGGAAGGAGACAGTGAAGAGAATCTTGACCTATCTTGGTGTCCAAGAAGAGATCATCAATTCGGCCAATGAAAGTCACGGCCTCAAAGGTTTGCTTTTCGCTCTACGACTGCAATTGATGGGCAAGAGGTACTTAATTGTGCTCGACGATGTTTGGAACACAGAAGATCAGTATAAAAATTTCTGTACTTCTATATTTGATGATGAAAAATGCAGTGAAAGGCTTGCCTATGGATTGCCGAAAGGGTTTGGGGGAACGGTGATCGTGACGAGCAGGACCGAGGAAATGGCGAAGGGAATGGTTGGTAAAGAGAACTTGCATCGGATTCTGCAGCTTTTGGATCCAGAGAGCTGTTGGAAGATCTTCAAAGACGCGGTTGACAAAGACGGTGAAGTGTTCTCGGTACAACTGGAAAGTCTGAAAGATAAAATTGTAGAGAAGTGTGCTGGGCTTCCGTTGGCGGCAAAAATGATGGGGCAGATTGCTCATGATGAATTGCTTATAAGGAAACAAAGGGTTGTTGAGAGCCAGCAAGACGAGAGTCCCCAAGAATTGGAGCCACTAATAAACTGAACAGCCTCAAGTGTTCTCTGACTTGTTTCAATTGTTGTTTCTTGCTTTTCTCTTCTAGTTTGTAGTTTTCTCTGGTTGTTGAGAATGCATTAATTTTCTCTTATTTCACAGTTTAATTGTGTGTGTTTGGGTTTTTTTAATTTGGATGTAATTATGGAGGGGGTAATCTGAATTGTCTATGAATCAAGAAGGAAATTGGGTTGAGAGCTTGAAAGCTCTGGCTAATGACATGTCAAAATCCAGAAAGGATTATTTTGCCTAACAGCTGCTCAATTTGCTTACAAAATTGAAAGCAAGTTATTTCTCTTATCATCATCATTCATGAATTTCCTAAGGATTGAGTTGTGAAGAGTATGCAGGTTTATAAACACATCAAAAGGTGCAATAAATGGAAAGAATTCTGGATTTTTGCACATCTTAAAATAGGGTAAATTATAAATATACCATTTTAAGTTTTTTACGTACAAATTATTCCATGTGATTCTAAAAATTACATCTTGTCTTTTTAAATTTTTAATTGGATAACAATTGACCTATTTTATTAATAAAATATTAAATCAATTAACAATTTTTAATGATGTTTAAAATATATTTCAGTTAACAATTCTGGTAATTTTATTATTATATAATAAAGTAGTTAGGATTTTTTTTTTTATTATTAATTACGTTAAATCAAAAATTTTGACAATAGAATATTTGTAATTTTTGTAACTATAGAAAACAATTAATATTTTAAGTAAATTTTAGGGAATGTATTTATAATTTATCCCTTAAAATATGGAGAGAAAAAATTAGATTAATTCACATTCAATAATTACACAATATGCAATACTTTGTTGACACTGAGTCGTCTCCCCATTTTTTCCATGTTCCTGTCTCAAACACTATTCTTACCACAGGATGTATAAGTTGTCAATTAAAATTTTAATTATTTTGACAAATCATATATATGATCAATCTTCAACAAATTTAAATCCTTTTCGCGACCAAAATATATGGTCGCTAATAGTAACTTTCAGTGACCAACTTCAATTCTGGTCGCCAAAAACCTTCTGTGACGGGCTTTTGGCGACTAAATGGCGACCAACTTTTTTTGGTCATTAAAAACTATTAACGACCAGATATTAGTTTTCTGCAACCAAAAAGTTGGTCGCTAAAAATGTTATTTTTTGTAGTGCTCAAAAAGAGTTTAGAGCATACCCTCCCCCAATCCCCTTTTTGCTTTTATCTTATTTTAGTCCATTGTAATACGTTAATATATTATGAGTGAACTTTCTTATTTATTATTCTTCTTGATTTGTATTTAGGAGAAATCTATCAATGGTACTATCAGAAGATTATTACAAAAACATCAACCAAAAAAAAAAATTAGGGTAAACTATCAATTAGTCCTAAGAGTTAGACTTAATTCCCATTAAGTCCTATTAAAAATAAGTCTTGGTAAAATTGTCGCTCAAAATAAATTTTTTATGACAATTTTTTACATACGTCACTAAAAATTGACAATAAGTGACTTTTTTTGTCATGATTTTTATAAATTGTCGCTAAAACTTACAATTAGTGACATTTTTTTATAACAAATTTTTTTCATAAGACCTATTAGATAATAAGTCTACTTATTAGGATTTAGAGGTAGGTATCCTAAAAATTTATAACTATAATTATTAAGGTATATAAAATTATCACTTATCTGTAATTTTTCTTAAAAGCTTGCATTGAATTGAAAATTTCCATTTTATTTACTTTTTGTGAAGTACCCCAATATAGCTATTTGACAATACTGCCCATCTTGGATAAAAAAGCAATCCCCCCAATTTTTTTTAAAATTTTTTTTGGGTACAATCCTCCTCCCAGATAGATTGTTGTGAAAAATTATTGAATAGGGAACGGATAATTGCTCGATTGTTGTTGAGGCCATAACTGTTCCAGCAGTCAACATCTCAGTGACAATCCACTTTGAACTGATTACAGTAAAAAGTACTAAGATTGTTTGGAATATAGATTTGTTTTTAAAAAATGTGTATTTCATTCATATTTTATTTATATTTTCTCTTTTACTTTCTAAATTTTTGCTTAAATATATGATCCAAACATAGTTCAAAAGATTAGGAGTCTGGAATAAAGCTTTTTATTAATTGTACTTCATTTTAGGTGTCATTTTTCTAGCTGTTTATAGTAAGGGTAGACAAATAAAGTTTGGCTAATCACCTGGCCTGGAAAATGGTTTTGTTCAATGAAGATTTGTGAACAAATTTTGTGATTGATCTCCATACAAAGTGGTGGAGTTGACTCACTTTGCCTTTTACTTTTAGCAACCAGATTTTGTCCAATCCACACATGCTGTTTGGGCCTGTGAGGCCACCGTACGTCTCACTTCGATTAGTCGAGCTGTTTATTTTTTAGACCACAATTTACAGATCTTCCATAAACAAAATTAGGTCGAGCCAATAATCGTGTCCAAATTAGTTTGTAAATAATATTTATCATTTATTTATTTATTTGCAAATAAATGTCATAAACTAGCATGGTTACAGTTACCTAATTGACCTAATTATTTTCATGGATGATCTACATGTTATGGCCTAAAAGATGAACGGCTCGAATCACCGAGGTGAGACTCATGGTGGGCCCACAGGCCCAAACAACACGAAGAGAATCTGGTTCCTTATTTTTATTTATTTATTGTTATTAATGTTATTATGGAAATGTGCTGATCTGAATTGTCCTTGCATCAAGAAGGAAATGTTGGAAAATTTATAAAGAGGTAGTTGTGAATTGAAATAGACTCTACTTTGAATGAAAAGGTGTAACCTTTCATGGTGTCTTTTTGTATTAAAGGAAAGGTCAAACCTCCATTTGAATGAAAGGGTGCAAACCTTTCATGGTGTCTCTTTATTTTAAAGGAAGGGGTATGTCCCTTCTTCATACCTTTTCTATTCAAATTGAATAGGTGCCAACAAAGCCTATATAAAGGCAGCCCCATTCCAATTTTGATTGATTCTGAAAATTCATTTTCCTCGTCTTCATTTTGCTCTCTTGCGTCCTTTATTCTTCATATTATTTTAGGATAATTTTCAGAGAGTTAGAACACAGGTTTGGTTCGCCGAATAAATTGTTTGGAGTGCTACTACAATTTGTGAAGATCATTGTATCCTGGGAGATAGACGCCACATAACCGTAAACACCGTAGCAGGGCGAATCTGTCTTAAGGACAGAGTGTCACACACTCGACTTGGTCTTAATTTTAATTCGGTTTGATAAATAAATCCGGTATGTTATTTATTTATTTTGTTTGAATTTATTTCAAGTTATTTTATTTACACAGAAGATTGTTCCAACAATCTTAAGACAGATTTGAATTATTCTGTTTACAGATATTTTCGTTTGTTTTCTTTTTTTTTTCATTCTTCGTAAATAATTTCGGAAGAAAATTATTTTCTGTGGATTTACAAAATAACATTCTGGTTGGAAAAACAAATAATGATTATATGCTATTTGACAGATAGTAGTAATATACTGTCTCTTTTCTTTGACAACAACTAGTAGTACGATACTGGTGTCATTAACAATTCAGAATATATTTTTGTGGAATTTTTCAGAAATTAATTTTGGGTTTTAGAAATTATTTTCTGAGTTTTCATTACTTAAAATTCTGTTTTAGTATTTTAATTATTGAAGTACAATAGAAATTACTTTTCTGTGTTGAATTAATTTGGTTGAATAAAATTTTATTTTATTTCCAAATTAATTGAAAAATAAATGTTATTTTCTTATTTCTTTTATTTTACAGAATTTAATTTCTTGTGTGGAATTAATTTGGTTAAATAAAATTTTATTTTATTTCCAAATTAATTGAAAAATAAAAGTTATAGTTTTTATTTCTTTTATTTTACAGAATTTATTTTTCTGTGTGGAATTAATTTGTTTAAATAAAATTTTATTTTATTTTCAAACTAATTGGAAAATAAAAGTTACATTCTTGTTTTTTTTATTTTTACAGAATTTAATTCTGTGAATTTGGTTTAATTTTCTGTGTAGTGAAAATTCTAATTATAAATTTGTTTTATAAATTAGAATTGATGGCTACTGAAACAAATGCCCAAACAAGTACTACTGTGGTGGCTGCAATTGCACCAACCCCCTCTCCTGTGATGACAGTACCAATAAATCATGGAGAGAAGCCAGAGAAGTTCTCAGGAATTGACTTTAAAAGATGGCAACAGAAAATGTTGTTCTATCTTACAACTCTGAACCTGGCTCGTTTTCTCCGTGAAGATGCTCCTATCCTGAAAGAGGATGAAACCGACCGACAAGTGGTTGATGCGGTTGATGCTTGGAAACATGTCGATTTCCTTTGCGGGAACTGCGTCTTGAACGGACTTGACAACACATTATACAACGTCTACAGTCCAATCAAGACAGCAAAGGAACTTTGGGAATCGTTGGAGAAAAAGTACAAAACAGAAGATGCTGGCTCAAAGAAATTTGCGGTTAGCAGATTCTTGAATTTTGTAATGGTTGATTCAAAAACTGTGATCAGCTAAACTCAAGATTTCCAACTCATTCTGCATGACATTCACGCATAAGACATGTCTCTCAGTGAATCCTTCCAAGTTGCAGTATTAATTGAAAAATTACCAAAAGGCTAGAAGGAGTTCAAGAACTACCTCAAACACAAGCGCAAAGAAATTTCTATGGACGAATTAATTGTGCGTTTAAGGATTGAGGAGGACAACCGCAATTCTGAAAAGCGGGCTGGTAAGCATCCTATGAAGTCTAAGGCAAATGTAGTGGAACATGTTTCAAAAACCAAGAAACGAAAGTCTTCTGGAGAAAGTTCATCACAAGGCTCTAAAGGGGGAGATAATAAAAAGTACAAGTTTAATGGCAAACGTTACATCTGTGACAAAGAGGGACATCGGGCCAAAGATTGCCGT